CTCTCCTGCACCATCGTCCCTCCAACATTGTATGTTTGTAATTTTTTTTTTAGTAAGCACCTATTTTCCTTAAATTTTTTCAAGTAGAAGTAGAACCAACAATTGTATGAATTGAATTCCGATAGGATATTAGCATTCTTGTGATGGTGTGGGGGGAGGGCAGTACTGCAGAAGAAACGTTTCAGTAGCCCCTCACACTTCAAAAAATGGTATTTCCAAAATGTTTTTATTGTACCAATATATTAATATACTATACATTCTACTCACTGGTTTTGTGTACGACCTTGTCTGGAGAAATATCTTCCACCATAATCACATTATATAAGGATGAGACGGTAATGATAATTGACCCATTGTACATAGGCCCACTAGGGACATTTTCTGGGGGGGGGAGCTAGGATCGAATCAGTAGCATAGACCCTGATAATTTCTATTTTAAACTCAATTAGAACTTAAGCCTCAATGGTTACAAGTGGTTGAAGCGGAGAGAGGGTGCGGGGGCAGAGCTAAGTTCTATAAATTTAGCCTCCCCAAAACAGTTGTCCAAATTGCGCCTATGTGGGTACTTATACCTAATTGAGTGAGAATTTATAATGCAAGGCTATTCGGCAAGTTTAATCAAAATCGCTTCCAACCAAAAACTGCATTTCAAGCATTTGGCATTCTGCATCCATCCTAAAAAATTGAACATTTTGGTGCTAAAATTTCTCAAGTATCTAATGCGAACGTACTTGTTTGATATTTAGTTGCGAATAGTGCCCTCACTAGTACATCACTTGTGGTATTTGAGGTCCCATATCAATTGAGCCAAAATAGCTTTTTTACCTCTAGGCTGTATAAACATATCTATCGATTGCGTCGCGTATCAATAACTCCACCACACTCTTTTACACATATTGATTCCGCCGACTATAAATCTGCTGAATATTTGCAAATTATTTAGTAACAAAATGTAAAAGACTTACATTTACATTTATCATATTTATGTTAATGTTGTTAATTAATGATATAAAATATGTTTTATTTGATTAGTATATATACACACTATAAATGTTATTATATTTGATCATTATTTAAATACCAAATAGATAATAGGTAGGTAGGTACCCATAATTTTACATCGTATATTCCATTATTTGAACAAACTAAGTTTGACAAACTTTGTGTGTGTGTTTTTACTGTTAATTAAAAAAAAAAAATGCTGTACAATATGTTTCAACGGCGATCGGTTAATTGCTTAAGGGGCCTGCACGCGACCTGTTTTTTTGCTCAAAAACATGCCTTACAGGAAGAACTCTCACGCCTCGTAGATTGGTCCGATTTCCGTAATTTTTTTTTTGTTAGATAGAGGAAGACTTCTTACAGGGCGCATTGGACTTGGATTTTCAACATTATTTTTCTAAGTCTTATGTTACAAGTTTGAATTTAATCAATTTTTACAACTTTTTAGTTTTTGTATTATTTTTTGTTTTTAGCGACGTAATCAAAAATCGAAGTCCAATGCGCCCTGTAAAAAATATTCCTCTATCTAACAAAAAAAAAATTACGGAAATCGGACCAATCTACGAGGTGTGAGAGTTTTTCCTGTAAACTGTGTTTTGACCGATATAATACACCCTATCAACCCCCCCTAAATAGGTATTGGGTAGTAGATTAGTGGAAAAGTCTTATAATTGAGGTGGCAACTAAAATATAAAATTTAATTTTCAAATTTTATAGAATTGCGGAAAATTTGAAAAATCGCGAGCAGGCCCCTTAATAAGCAGTCGGCGGAATCAACTTATATAAATATCCGGCTGAATGAACATAAGCAAATATCTGGCGGAATACACATAAACAAATTTCCGGCGGAATTGATATTAAAACGGCGGAATCGATAAATTCCCGTATTTGGACGTTTCCCCCCTGATTAAATATATATATTTTCCATACATAATAACAGGTTGGAAAATTGATTCTTTATTTTATTCAGGGCCAGCTCGAGCGAAAATAGTGAACTAGGCAAAATCAAACTTCGCCGCCCCTAACAATATAATATTATCAGTATTTTGAAAAATGCCGTCCTCTTACTAAAGTGTTGGTGAAGTGCCGCGCTAGGCGTGGGCCTATGTCGCCTACCCCTTGAGCCGGGCCTATTTGTTTTACCTGAAATATACGATCATCACATCTATCTACTAGGTATCATATTTCACGTTATGGATTTATTAGTTATTACGCAATTCAATGATTTGGTAATAATTGATAAACCAAAGTTATGTGAAAGTATTATTGAATTATATTTATATTTAGGGTATTAATTTAATAATTTGTACATATTTTACTGATTTGCATTGCATATTATTATTGTTTATACCACATGTATTTTTCATACGTTTTAGACCAATAAGCTGTGGTAAATATTACACATACTTCGGAATGTCTGATTTAAATTTTTTATACTCGCATGAACTCTTTGACAAAATATCTAGGCTTTTTAGGAAGTCGATTTACAATTTTCAATTTTAAAAAACATTAAAATAAGGATTTTTTTTCAAAAATCCCATGAAATAATTGCATTACATTTGTATTTATATTGGCCATTGGGTACATCTAATTTTAAATCAAAAAAGTGATTCCTAAAAAGCATAGTCTAGAAGTTTATAAATTCAACCTTTTTTTCCGAAATTACAATCGAACTTCAGTTTAAGTTACTACCGCTTTTAGTAGGTAGTTTTTATAGTTATGATAACAAGAATAATATATTTGATTTTTCATGAAGTATTGACAATGTCATATCCCGTGCCTTTGCGAGAGTTACATCCGGTGGCGGTTGCCTTACAGCGAGGAATTACAGTGATTTTCGGAAATACACACGAATGATAATTTACTTCTCATACATAGACATAGCCCAAATGTTCATGTCATGTGAATTGAATATAACTATTGAATATAAATATTACTCCTTAAGACATGATAAGCTGGAGCCCCATTAATAAACAATAATATTTCAATAATTAATCTTTGAATTTTTTTTTCCGTCGAGGGATATTGTCCCGTTTGGGGGAGAAACGTCCATTGATTTGTGGGGAGGGGACTGGTCTTGTAGAATGTAAAGAATATTAAAAAAAGCAATTTAATAATATTCTAGTGTATATTTTGTACATCTCTGACTTTAATTACCTATCTATAATACCGCGAGATGCCGAGATCACATATCTTTATATTGTATAATCTCATCATTAGTCATTATTAATTGGCCTTTGTAAGTACCTAGCTATATTCAGATATAGCGTACTATCTTTATGTCACATTTGATGTTGTTATATACTTTCTACACCATAATTGAAGAGTTATCATAGTTTCACACTAGTACCAATTACCAAACTAGGTAATAAAAATATAAAAAAATTTTAAAAGTATTTTAATACTTAGGAAGATTGAATTCCAAATATCTTATATTGGTGAGTAAATTTAAATTATATTTTTATAAACAAAATATGAATTTCGTATTTTTATATCTATATTAGTCCATAAGCAAGGTTTTGTAATTAGAAATAACTTGTAGAAAAAATATTGTATTTGTCTTCATCAAAAATGTTAAAAAGAGAATATTGGGAAAATACTAACAGACAAACTGGAATAAACATGATTATATTTGATAAATAAATAGATATATATTTTTATTATAAACAAAAATCATCTAAAATAATTTATAAATTAAACAGATACATCATATAATTATCATTTATCACAGAAAAAACTCTAAAAACTAAAAAATAAAAAGTGTCTTATTAAGTACATAAATAGCAAAAGCAAAAAAATAAAATAAAAATAATACCTAGTTCAAATGATTAAAAAGAGCACGATTGGTTATTGAGTATACAATGTACATTTAAAAGCAATGTCAAACAAGTTTTATGGTCTTTTTTTTTTAAAAATATTGTATCAAAAACACAAATAGTCTGTTTAGCTGGCTACATTAATTTTATCAGTCATTTTTTTGTTATTAAAATAAAATGGTTTTATATTATTTGAAGAATTTAATTATATCAATAAGTTCTCTACTGAGTTTTACTGTAAAACTTTTACTTATTCTTTTAATAATAAACTATAATTTTCTTTAATATGTTGATTTGTAATATTGAACAAATATTTAATTTTAATTTACAAGCATTTAAAGTTTAGATTAGCGGAGTAGTTTGTACCACAAATGTGTAAAGTAACCCTGCTACTTCACACATATAATATTAAACAATACCTATGAATATAATAAATAAGTACCTATAATGAGAACACATTTAAATATAATCTACTAATATTTATTACATAGTAAATATAAACCCGTTTAATATTGCACATAATAAAAGTGATCATATAAGAGTATTCTAAAATGGGAATGTTTTTGGGGCCAATACAATAGATTTTGTAGGTTAAATTATTTTCAATAGATAACATTGCTACATGATAGCTTAATTCTAAATTAAATTAATATCATTGTTTAAATGGTGCTCCCGCCCCCTGAGAGAAACCTAGGTCACCGTAACTTTTGCCGGCCCTGAATGTTAGACATATGTTATTGTTAAAATTATATTATTATAATTATATTATTTAAACCAAAAGATCTAGATACTAAAATTAATTTATAACCTTTACCATTTGGAAATATTAATTGATTAAATAAAATAATAATGGCGATAAGGTTTAAGTGTATTGAAGAATACGATTTTATCTAAATAAATAAACTGGCATACATAATTTATGAACGAGAATAATAAAAATACATTTCAACCTTTTAAAAGTCTTAAAATATTAGTTACTTTGTATAGTAAATAATTTATACTAAACATATTTTTTATATCAAGCATTTGTTTTTAAGATCATAAATATTTTAAGCTTTATTTAATTTAAAAAGTTCAATTTATTACAAAATCATTTAAATTAAAAGCAATTTGTGATGATTAAAATGTGTAAGTTAAAATGTTCCATTAATATCTACAGGACATGATCATATTACTTAACATCTAAAACGATGTATTGATTATTAAATCACTTTGATCATTGACTAGAAAATGGTATACAAAATTGGTCTTCTTCCTTGACATAGAAGTTCTCGTGTGGCCAGATTTATCTGAACGAGATCTAGGTGGATCTCGGATAAATATTTCACCAAAAACAGATGCTAGAAACAGTATAACATTGATTAAAGTTCAATTATTTGAAAATTCATGAGTAAATTAAATAGTATTGGAAATTTACCAATAACATATCTATGTAAAGTAAAAGAACAGGATCCAATTAATTGGTTTGGATATGCTTTGCGGAAAATGGAAACAATAATCAAGTAAAATAATAAAACAATAGATAGTACTATAGAGCGGCAGGGCGGTGTAGGGATTTAAAGAGCTATGAAACTAAATTTAAAAATAGTATAAAACTAACTAACCGATAGTTTTAACATCTAATTTGTTATCATTGACATGATTCAATAATTCTTGAAGAAATGCACAAAGGTATAAAAATACATTTTTACTTCTCTCTGGTAGTTGAGAAATAATCTGAATAATAAAAAATAAATTTTAAAAAATAAAAATAAATTACAATTCAATAATAAAACAATACTGACTTGTTTACATTGACTGTAATAAGACACTGCAGATAAACAAGTCGCATGCAAATTATATGGTATTATGGGTTCTGATGTACTGTCTAAAAGAATTAATAGAGCTTCAGCTACAGAATGCACACTACCGGCTGAAATATAATTTAAAAATAATAGCCAATGTTAACTTTTTTTATAAGTAATTAAATCAAACCGTACGTAAAGCATCCGGTGATCCATTATCTAACCAATTTCGAATCTGGACAAATTCAGATCTGAGACCAGAATGTTCAAATAAATGTTCTTGTTTAAGACCATGTCTGTATAAATGATCAACAAGGTACCATACTTCTTTGGGTACTAGGTAAGGATCTGAAGTCATGTTGCTTTTATTGTTTTCCTTAAAAATATACATAATCAATTATCACCATGAAAAATATTAAGTAAAGAATATTACATTGATGATTCATTATAGATACATATAAAACAAATATTAAATATTAATAATTACTTACAAGTTCCATAAGTTTTCCAAATGGTATATTTTTAATAGGAACTTTCAAATAACAAAGTGTTTCTAATGAACAACCAAAACAACTACGCTCATAGTTACCTAAAAAATACAGTCCAAATTATTGAGTACAATATTATTGTTATTTAAGTTATATACCTGTGACTGTTATAAAGATATCTTTTCCACCATCTAAATGTAATACTAAAATATCATACAACTTGTCTTGGCCACTGATCATTTTGTATGCTGATTTTTTATCTATCAAAACTTCTAAAGTAATATCACATTTTTCCCCTGAAAAAATATTATTATAATATTCATATGTTATCTGTTAAGAAATAGGTAATTTAATATTTTTACCAGGATCAATAAAACTCATGAAAGGCTCAATTCGCAACCATTCTTTACAGTATGTAGAATCATCTAATTTTTTAATAAATTCAAACTGTACAGGAACTTGACCAGTATTAGCAACTGTAAGTTCTTTTAATTGAGGTTCCATAAACTTCACCTTGTGGAAAATTATTTCAGTGTTATCAACCATAACTTGAGGTAAATATTCATTCTCTGCTTTGTCTAATTTTTTCATTATATGTTCATGAATTTTTCTGTACTTGGTCAAATCAACAACTCTCACCTGTTGAAAATTAAAATTAAATTGAGTTTAATTTTAAAAATACAAAAATTAAATAGATACATACTTCAGATTCAAATAATGCGCTGACTGGTTTGTGATCACTGATCAACAAATTAGGATGACTTCTGTAAGCAAGTTGTTTAATTGCATTGCCTCGCCACAATATTCGGTCACACCATGCAGGGGCACGGTTCTTCTCACTAATTAAATATACACAAATTAATATATATTATATTATAATTATCATTTTACACACAACAAATAAATACATACCTGCTGTCCCAGTCATTGGTACCCGGATCATATTTATAAGTAGGAAGGAAATTAATTGAACCCTCCTTATAACCTTTAAAGACATTTCCAGCCCGATGTTGTTGCTTTAGTTGATCTGCTTCTAATACGTTTTTAAAATTATTTTTGCGTACTAAATCTTTTACGGATATTGCATCCATTTCGGTTATCCTATAATTGAGGTCACCAAACCAATATACTTGACTAAAATAAAAACATATAAAACCAATTATAGTAACTTAATAAAGTTATTAAATTTTAATATATTTTAATGCACTCAGTCATGTCACTCAATCTTACTTTTAAAATAACTGTTGTTTGTAATTTTTTTTTATAATATATATTACTCACTTATGATCCTTAACAGTTTTTGGAGGTCTGAAATTTGAAAATACCATTCTTGAACATATATTTTGATAATCTTGGTTTCGTCTTTCATATTCTTCAACGTGGGCTGCTAAATGTGTATTGACAAAGCATAAAGAAGTGTTATGGAAATCCATGCGAACGGCAACTCCACCTTTATTTCCCTAAAATGAAATTTAATAATTATGACCGTTTAAAAATATTTAAATAACAATTTACCAATTTTCCCATAATTCCAGTACCAACAGTATCAGTAGCAACATTTTTAACATGGTCGATGTGTTTATTTTTAACAAACACTATAAGCATCATTCCCACCAATCGAACTAATGATACTTTTTTATAATTTCCCTTGGAATTGAGACTTTTTGTTACAGCTTGTCTAATTAATAATAAAAATTAATTCAATTATTTTTATTTTTACTTAAATTTTTTACATATTAAAATTAAATTCTTAAAAATGTTCTATGATTAAATAATTTTCTCCTAAAAATTAAACAAAAGTTAATTGAACAATTAGTAGTAACTATTATAGGTACAAATTGTTATACTAAGTTAACCTAATAGTCATTAGTAATATAAACAATACTTTTAGCATAATTTTTCATAAAATATGCTAACACGTGTACCCTTTTTTAAATTTTTAAATGAAAGTAACTATATTGTCTTTTAAACAATATCAATTAATGACCAAAGAAATTACTAATGAGCAAAATAAAAACTGTTATTAAATTGAACTATAACTCATTTGTTATTTAATGCTTAATTTTAATTTACATAAGTTTCTTTAAACACAGATAGGTTAACATGCTTTAATAGCAGTGATTCATAATAAATAATTAAAAATAATATAAATATTCAGGTGATTGATTGAGTAAGATTGATAAAGCAATAATATGAAGTTTTGATATGCTAAAAGTACAAGTAGTCTGAGTTTCATCATAAATATTATAAATTACTTACAACCATTCTTCTTCTCGTGGAGAATCATTAAAAAGAAAAGCTTCTTTACTTAGGTCGAGTTCTTGAAAACCAATGGCATAAATATCAGGCTGTTCAGAATCACAAGTCAGCCAATCATTTAGTGAAGACAAGGTTGGTTGGCCATTGACATTCCAAGTGCCAATATAAATTCTAAAAAGGAATAAATATAAATATAAATTTAAATAGTATATAAAAAAATAATTACCGGAAATTTTGTGCATTAGTATATTGTTCTTCGCTCAAAATCATTTGCCGCTGTATAACACTTTCTCGAGAACTTAGTGTATGTGTTCCAGTTGGAAATGATATATCATTTTCAGCCACAGCCATCTTATTAGTTTAATACATAATTAAATTACTAATAATACTTTTAATAAATATGAAATATTATTACATTAGCAGTTACTATATTATTAGATGTATTATCACCATTGATATTCATCATCAAACCTAATTCTAAGTCAATATCATTTATATTATATTTTTTCAACCATTGAAAATCCAGTGTCTGTTGATTTTTTAAATAAACTGTAAAAATAGAATATTTTATAATAACTAATAAATTATGTAATATTACTATTTGGAGTTAAATACTAACGGTCCATTGATCTAGATAATTCATTAAAAAAATGATTGGTTTCATGACCTGAATCCATTCCCATAAATAATTTAAAATTCCGTGCTGATAAATTAATATAAATATCAGAATTAGATTCCGCTGACAATGAATCTAAACATATAAATTATACATACAAATTTTAATATTTTGAAATAAATATCTATTTTAGAAGTAATTTACATTTATTAATAATCACATTCAAAATGGATTTTACCTAAATATTACTTAAGCGGTATGCTCTCCTATAGAAAATGAATAATGTTTATTGCTTACCTATATCACATTTGAAATCACTATCAATAGGCACAACAAAGTTGATTGTGAGGTCTGTAAATGCTTGAGGTGGATTTCTGGACGTTGTAAATACAAACAAACCAAATGATAGATTACGTTCTACCAAGGCTAGTAATCGGTGAGCCTTGGGTGACCAGCCTTGCAACAGTACACCTTCGTGGAGCTAAGTAATGGAGACACTTGTTATGAATGTATAAGTTTAATAAGTAACTATTAATTACCGCCACAACATTGTCACCGGCATTCAATTTATCCTTCATAATAGCGGATAGCTCCATCGCAGAATAAAATACAATCCACAGGTATAACAACAGCTTAACCCGTACTCGACTGCCGGTTAAAATAGCCACCACGGGCAATTAAAATACTCTTAAGAGCAAATTGTAATATTTAAAACGATACCGTTCACACCTCTTTCGAGAATTATTACTGAACAACGTGCACAACAATAGTAATAACAGTTTGTAATTATAATACACTCGTTTATTATTTATTATTAATATTGCTGTGGTGTACCCACTAATTTAAATAAAACACAAACGAACACTTTATTATTATTATTTTACGTATGATATTGAAGTCGTGACAACATAATGCATAGAAACATAGAGCATAAGAGTCACGAAGACTGGCACAGACCAAATAGTGGAATGTCTACGAAAGAGCATTCACAAGTCACTATTGTCCGTCTAGTGTAAAGTCGATTCATGACCCTTTAAGACTATTCAACTTTTAGTTATTAGCTGTTACTTATTAATTAATACTTATTAGACTTCGGAAACTTTGAACATTGATAACAAGATTGACAAGATGTATACTAAATAATGATTGATACGGACAAGTGCACAAGGCATAGTAAAATTGGTAAAATGGGCTAATGCTGGATCACAACATTTTGTTCCAACGACCAATTGTTCCACAATCTATTTATGCCACTGACGGCACGACTATTTTTTTTTATAGTCAATTATACGTCTGTCGTCTTCCATGAATATATTTTCGTTGTTAGGCTCAACTGCTCAAGAATTCAAGATTTATATAGATTTCCAATATTTCTGTAGGTATATCGGAACAAAAAGAACCAAACTAAATTTTATCAAAATATAAATTGTTCAACAGCAAGATGTTCTGTCTAGTCTCTATATAGTGTCTACTAATGAAGTTGTGCTCTTATTTTTTAAACGTCGTACATAAATGGGTAGGTACATTTGTTTTTATTCCATACAAAACTCAAAAACAGCACATTATTTTGTAGTAAAACCATAATTACATATCTGTAATTCTAATTAATTTCAAATTTTAAGCACCCGTCGGGTCGTATACTGTCATTTTCGCATTTCCGTCTGCGAGGAACAGCAGCTTTTACAATAATCGTTGTTTTAACAGCCCGTGTAGAACAGACCATGCTTTCTGTATTGCAGAGTGCAGGTCATAGGTATATTTACTATATTTTATAGTTTCCCACTTTCAGGTCATGTTATGTCCGTCTATTGCTATTTTCATCGAGTGCTGGCAGTGCTGCCGATATCTGATGTTGGCCATTTCCATACTTGTCAGGATACTAATATAGTGAAATAAGCCAACAACGATTATGTATTAGATAGTTTATTACACGATACGTCGCAGAAGCGTAAAAACGAAAAAGACTAAAGTCTAAAAGTAATATTACAATATTAACAGCGGTTCGTCGAAACAGGACGAGGCCGGTCCGGGTTGCTACTACTGCCACGATGATGTACTACCACGATAACATAATACCACGAACATATTACTCCGAATATAAAATGTTACGAATACAACTAGTCCGATATTATACTATCACGATAACATAATGCTCCGAACAATTATTACTCCGAATATTATAAAATTTTACAGATAACAATACTAGTCCGATATTATACCATAGAATATTCTATGATTATACTATTACGATAAAATAATGCTCCGAATTCCGATTATATTATATATTTATATTACTCCTAATGTACATTGTACAATGTTACGACTACAACTTTGAACTTACAACTAGTCCGATGGTATATACAACGACAATATTATAATGTTCTGCATATAAAATGTTATGAATACAACTACCACGACCACGAGTGTACACGACCCAGCTACTTTGGCGTCCATGTGAATTTTTCAATTTTTTTCTGTTATAACGTACCTATGTAGTTAAACATGCTGAAAACAGTGGGGAAGTCTGAATTTGGCGGACAGCCTTAGACCTTAGTTTAAAGTTATAGCTAGGTAATTAAAATTTTGGTATTGTCATATACCTACACCCCGGCGTGGTCCCTCCCTCGCTCGGACAATTAACATCTAAAATATTCCTCAGATTTATTATGTAAATAAACCACTATGATTATTGCACCATAATATTTAAAACGTTGATTTACCTATTTCAAAAAAAAAAAAAAATTGAAAATACGTTAAACCTTGGTGCTGTAAACTATAAGCATTATGTACCGTCTTGTACGTGCGCGCAAGACACCGAAAATTGAGAACTTTGTAAGGCTACCTATGTCCTATACCCTAAAAAATAATAATTTCTGGCAATTAATTTTCGCACCATCGTTCTTAAATCTTAACTGGTTGTAAAACATTGGTGTCCGACAAAAAAATTTAAAAATTCGCGTGAGCGAACTAGATCTATAGGTACCTACCTAACACTATATTCAACAAAAATTCTATTTTAAAAAAAATTTCCAAACCAAAATCCTCACCTCAATCCAAAATAATCCTCAATATAAACCTCGATAATTAGATTTTGTACTACAAAATAAATATATCACCTAATAATTTGTTTATGTAAATTTGTATTTTAATTTTAATTGTTGGAAGTTTGCTTTGAAACTGTAGATACTCCCCACAAAATATTTAAAATATTTAAGTTGTTAATGAGAAATAAATATCATCCAATTGAAATTATGATAACTTTTTGTTAAATAACTATAAGTATGAAAGTGTACAACTTTAACCTTCCCACCAAAATTTAAAAATAAAATAATATTTTTTTGTGTACGTGCCTGTCTACTAACTACTGCAATACTCAATAGTCAATACTGCATAGTTATATGATAAAAATACAAATTAAAAATTGTACCAGGGCGACTCAACTATTTCTTATCTGTGGCCTGTGGGAACGTCCAGCAACTAGAAAGCCGTGGTTATGGGGCTGGGAAATATAGGCAGGTTTGGTAAGGGAAATGTCCAAAAAAGGCGGTGAGGTAGGGGTGGTCAAGCGTACTGGACCGGTAGATCCCTCCCCCGTAATCTGACCGTAGACAAATATAATTTTTATGTTAGCAAATAGCATTTCATATAGGTATACCTACACCATACAATTTTCAAAATATTTTGTTTTTTTTTTGAGCTATTATACTTATAAGTTATAGGCATACCAAAATACACCAAAAATCTCGAAAATGTGCACATTATTTTTTTATTAAAAAGTATAGGCCACAACTATAGGGTAAGTACAGGTCACGGGGTATAGCCTATCGCAATATCGCCTATATGTACCTATGATATGCAATTTGCTGATATCTCTATTAATTAATCTATTATTGTACCTATAACTTAGTCATAATTACCTACACTCAAGTATTGTCACGGTTTGTTTTATCTACTTATTGAAATGTATAGTGGATAAAATAAAGTTGTGTCAAAGCCATTTTTTAAAATTCTTATACTAGGTATCAGTAGATTGATGACTTTTCTAGATAGAAAAAATATGTCAATATTTAATGTATATTATTTATATTTTCAGTATAATTGACAAATGGCAGACTGATACCTACATCATCAATAATATTGGTCTACTATATACACTCAACACCAAAATTTAATGGACTATTAAAGTTATATATCTTTGTGGAAGACTTGCAGTATCTAATGCTGTATTAGTGTATTATATTTGTACTATATTTCTGTATTATGTATACAAACTAAAACAAATATGAATAATTATTTAACTAATAAAATAACATTTAACCTAATTATACTTAATTACATTTATAAAATATAAATATGACGACTGAGTAGTAAGAAATAAAATAAAGTACCTAGAAAAAAAGCAAAAAAATAATTAGAATTAAGTATATCCAGTATAGGTATAGGTATATTAAAATATTTGATAATATATGTTAATATAATTGTATTGCCTATTATTGTTACTTTTTGCCTTTCGGTGTGGCCGTCTGGAAATAAGGAAATAAAAACTAAAAACAATGTAAAAGTGAATATAATTTTGTGTATAGACATTGTGATTTTTCACAATGATGGGTTTTTACCAATTTATTAGCCATACATGTATTATGATTTAAGAATAAAGATTTAGGTTCGTACTTTTGAAATTCAACCTAAACATTTGAAGCTTTGACTGGCCACCACCATGGAAATAAAAAGCCAAAAGGTTCATAAAATATTAACAACTCGTGAGGTACTAACTCGTGCTAGAGCTTTTTCAATTATTTATTCAATAAATATTTTATACATCATTTACCTACGTCTTAAACATAAACTTAGACAGGTGTGCTAGTGTGCTATCCTGACACCCCAAGGTTAAAATTTTGACTCGAAAACTGTTTGGTATCATGTAACAATTTGTAATCAAACCGGAGCCCTACAAAATTGAAGTTTAATTAATTAAAATATCTTAAGTATTGTACCTACACAAATCAATTATTAGGAATGTTTTTATCGTTTATTTTAATACATTTTTTTTTTAAATTTAATACTTACCACATTAAATGTTAATTATACATTATACATAAATATTTTATGTAAATCTTTCAACAAAAATTTACTGGATTACTTATGAGTTTAATATAATTGATCATGCTTCAATGAATAAGCGTATGGTTCATAATCTCAGTTCGTCCAAGGCTCACTAAGAAACACTATTAATTTATTGTAAGCATATAATTAATAATGTATACATTTAATATAATTTTATGTACCTATTGATTAACATAATATGTCATATATATTATATCTTTTTAATGGTATAATTTATTTATATGTATATACAATACATTGATAGCATCTTAAGGATCATATTAAGTTTGAGCCTACACGTTAAGGTAGGAAAGTAGATACCTCGTACAGTCGTAAATCTAACTAGTTAGTGATTTTTGAAATTCGATTTACAAGCAATTATTTATTTATTTAAGTTATAACAATACAATTGGTGCAAACGTGCAATATAGTAAATTCTAAATACCTATAGTAATAGTATAATGTATATTTAATATTTATTTAATTATTATGT